TTAACAAATATGTGAAGTGATTTAGTTACATATCTATTTTTATACCAAAAAAACTAAAATAATTGAGTCACCAAACGACATGTGATTTGGCTGACATAAATAACTTTGTATTATTTTTATCCATTCCCTTTGTTTTAAGGTGGAAAAGGGTTGCTTTGACATGCATTTTGTAGCCATTGTGCAGCCTGCACTTTATGCTGTGTCCAAGTCTGCCATTTTTAACTTCTATGAAGAATCCACATGTAAGCTTATTAAAGTTCTGTTTTAAGCATAAAACTTCTCTCCCAATACCAGCTCGTCTAACCAATTAGCCTCCTAATCGGGGGTCTAATCCACAATAATTAAGTGTTTTATTGTACTATTTTTTACTCTTCTTTGAAATTTTTGTTTGGTTTAGACTACTAGTGACTCATTTCTACATACAAATATACATAAAAGAATACAGGTCGGTGGGGATTAAAAAAACACCCTATGATATAGTTGAGGGGAGTGAAGAACCATGCTATGCTTATTAAATTTTGTATGTTGATTTAGACACCTTCCCCCATNTCCGGGAATGGCGCCAGGCGAGGGCGCCGCTATGCCCCGCTGCTCTGCTGCGGCCGGCCCCCGGACTATGCAAAAGAATCGAGGCCGGGGGGTCTCGTCTATAGTGGTTCCCCCCTGCCTTTGATGATTGACCGAACAAATAGGCCTAGATCTATGCCCCTTAATGAATCGAATGGTCCTTCGACCTTCCTTTGATTCCGACGGCCGGCATAGATCTCATGAGACCCGCCCACTATTACTACGAAAAAAGCCCTGCCCTTTTCCTTCGCTACTAGGAGAGTAAGCAACTTCTATTAGTATTAGCGCCGGACCTTGAGTCGAATTGATCGTGTCATGTGCAACGTCCATCAATGATGGTTCATTAATGTCCATTGATTTAGACTCCTTCCCCCTTCTCAACTACGAAAAAGATCGAGAGGGGCCCGAAAGCCCCCAAACCAAGAACGGAAACGGAAGCCTTTCGATTCACTCCCCATTCTCTCAACAATAAATAAAGCTCGCCCTCAAGCTTTATATAAAAGCCGGTTGGCTGGGTCTTTCTCTGTTGTTCTATTCCCGCCATGAGAAAGGCACATGAAAGTGGAATCTATTAATTTTCACCAAATATTCAGTGTATAGGATTTCGACATATCATTTAAGAAACAATATTTAGTAAATAAGCTTAGGAATGATAGTTTTATCTGAAAGTAAATAAACAATATTCAAACTCATGACTTCTAAATTTATAGTTTGTTACTGTTTTCACTTAAACTACCCGTGGGCTCTTTTGAGAAATGTGTAATGTTGAAACTTGTACGTGTTTATTCAATGGTCCAATAGAAGTAACGCATAAATTCAAATTTTCTGAAATTGTTGAGTGGTCCTAATTTGCAAACTCCATAAAATTTTGATTTGACCGATACACTTATTTAGTGGATGGATAACCAAAGAATGTGCTCATATTGGATCTCACCAATCAAGACCATTCTTTGCTTCCCTACACTACCATAATTCATATGTCATTTCTTTCAATGCAATTAAATATTTTATTAAACACATTAATTGTAGCTTTAGAAGTTGCTATAACCAACAACCCCAGAAATGATTGGTGATGAAGATTATGTTTTTCCAGTTTGCTCTCCACCTTGGATGCTATTTATACCTGGGTTCCCAGTAACGTTTTTTGTGGTGAACAACAATGGTTGGCTCAAAATGATTCTAGTTAAGTGGCCACTCACCTCACCACAGTCTTCTGAAGAATGAAATTCCCACCAAAGAAAAACAGTGAACAATGAAGTCACCTCTACCTCTACCTCTACCTCTACCTCTACCTCACCAAGTGTTTGTTAAAAGGAAAGAAACCATTGACTACTTTGATTGTAATTAGCATTTTAAGCACCACCATACATTTCTCTGGTCTTCTTTCTTTGCACATCGATTGGCACTTCTTTGCTGAGGTAGTGTTTCTCTGTATCAATGTCAACTTACCGCCCCCTACCAGGGGTGTGCCTCTATATTGATGTCACTCTTCTTGTCTATGATGAATCTTTTATTTTGGGTATGAAAAATTACACGATTATCCCTGGCATTTTAGGATTGACAGAGCAACCCCTTCGTTGTAATAACTCTTATAACAGTAACAACCCCCTCTCCCCCCCCCTTCCTCCCTTTTTTGTTTTTTTGGTTCAATGGCCAAGGGTGTTGAGTCAGCTTACAGTTTACGTGCACCTCGACTAATCTCCTTCTTGGTCTGGTCAAAGATAGGTCATCTATGTCAAGAATATAGTATTCATGAGGGATAAATAACTAAAGCCGTGAGTTTACAATTCGTCTTTATTACCACTTGAACTATCCTTTTGAGTTACATCCCCTATCAACAAAAAAGATGACATCAGCTAAAAAAATGATATATACCAACATTATCCCTTATTATTTATTAGAACAAAATATTATTTATTTCGAGTTAAGAACATCTATAATAGACTCTTTATTATCACATAATTCTCTATTTTAGAAAGTCAATCATAAAAAATCAAGCTCTCTATTTAGACTAACTAAAACAGAGAATCTTATTTGATTCTTTATATTTGGAGAGCCTAATTCACTCTCTATTCTATTTTTAAAGAATTAAAAAATGGAACATATGCATTATTTATTAAATGTTGTTGACTAGAAAAATATTTTTCTAATAAAATGGATAACACATTGAAGTTGTCTAAAATATTTCACTCTCTATTTTAAATTTTTATCAAAGATGCTCTATAAAATTGATACTACTATTTGAGATGCTCTAACTCCTCACCACAACAAAATTAATCGTACATCCAAACTTTCTCCCTCCCCCTCTCTCTCCCTCTCTCTCTCATATATACATGTATACACACGTACTCTAATGAGTACAATGTGTGGTGCATATGTATTTGAGATACAAGATTTGAGTTTTGATTTGGACAGCATAATAATGATTTACTCTAATCCATGAGTTTCACGAGGTCTCGTGAAGGCGGTTGCTAGTAAGGAGGGGCTGTAAGTAAAAGACATGTTGGGGGGGGGGGGGGGGGGCCT